AGGATCTGGGGGCTCGAAGCTGATCGAAAGCAGCTCGCCGAGACGATTACGCGCCTCGAACCTAACGTCAAGAGTGTGGCCACCAGCCAAGCCACTCTGGCGCAGCCACCGTCTGGAGCAAAGGAACCACACGGTTCAAGCCGAACAGACCACCCTGAACACGGATATGAGGGCCTCCGCACGCCAAATGACGTCCCTCATCACGATGGCCCCAAGCCCAAACGGCACAGACCGCCCAAATCCAAAACTTTGCGCCACCCCCCACTGGCTCATCCAGCGAGACGAACCCTAATCCAGAAGCCGCATTAAAGTGATCATTTGTTGTTTGGCCCCCCCTCTGTCACAGAGGGGGTCTAAGATGCCCCCCCTCTGTCACAGAGGGGGTCTAAGATGCCCCCCCTCTGTCACGGAGGACCTCGTTCTGGGTGCTCTTCTGCCACGGGAGCTCCCGATACGATTGGAGACGATAAAATGCGATGGCGGGATGGGGGATTGGAGGGGGAGGGAGAAGAAAACGATGAAGGAGAGGAGGCAACGACAGCACCGATGAAAGCACCGTTTCTTTTTCCTTCTCCGCTCGGGCAGCGGTCGCCGAGCACGACGGCGCGCGCGAGTCGCCGCCGCTCACGATGCATTGGCAAGGCCTCCGCTGCTGCGGAGGGTCGACGTTCGGCCGATGAGGCCCCCCTCCGCTGCTGCGGAGGGATGGTTCAGCTAAGTTTTTCCCAGGGATTGGTTTCGGGGGGGTGTTCGACCCACCTCCAAGTCGTGGCCTCCCAGCGCCCCTGGCCGCTACTCCACCCACTGTGGCTGCTCCACCAGTCACTGGGGCGTCGGTCGCTGCCGAATGCAACTTGCATGTCGCGCCTGGCGGAGTCGACCATGCGGTCCTGCAGCGAGGAAGCCTCGCCGCTCGGCTGTTGCCACTCGCGCTCCTCGCCCTCCTCGGTGCGCCACCGCTCATCCCTGCGCCACTCCCCGTCTGTTGGTTGCTGCCGTGGCGTCCGTGGCCTCCGCTGCTGCGGGGGCTCTGGCGGCTCGTGGCCGAGGGCAGCGATCGCGTCCGAGATGTAGCTGGCGGCGCCGCGCTGCCCTCGCTGCTCCAGCGGCGCAGGCCCTGGAGATGGGCACTGCGGGGTCGGCTGCCACCTTGGGGGCGATAAGTAATTATTTCTATAATTATCCCCTCCCTGTCAACTCCCGCCCCTTCCCGACACCCATTTCCTTATGTCATCCCTCGTCCTGCTCAGCCTATTCCTCATTCCCTCCCCTCCCTCCTGCCCTCCCCGTGCTCCACCCTCCCTCTCCCTCCCTCCCCCGTTCAACCCCCCGCCGCGACCTTCCATCGCCAGCCGCGGGCCTATCGCGGCCGTCGTCCGCGTTTTCGTCTGCCCATCTTGGCGGGCGCCACGCCTGTTGGGCGCGCTCGTCTTGCTCGTCCCTCTCGCTGCGCTGCCCTGGCGCCTGGCGCTCGGGTCCGTGCTGCTCGGGCGGCAGCGGCGCCCTGAGCGCAGCTGCCAGCTGTTTCTGGGCGCGCCTGTCCTTCTTCTCGTTGGCTCTCTCCTGCTTCCCCCCCTGCGAACGCACGCTGGCCATGCGCATTTGGAACAGGAGAGGGTAGTGGGCGCCGCCGTGCCAGCGCCCCTC